ACGGTAAATGTGAAGCAGCAAATGTTGTGATCAGACTGCAGCATCTTACAGGACGTTCAGACAGTAACTATTGTTGTTCATCTTTTCAACAGCTCTGCAGGATGGAAACACTGGTCTCACCAATGCCCAGATCCCATCTGTCCATACAGGAACTGAAGGAGGAGATGTCACAGTTAGATGCTCCTTTTCTTCATATGGAACCTCGATGTTCTTTTGCAAGAGAGAATGTAAACCAGAGGACATCCTCATTCACACAACTGGTGTCAGAGATCAGAGAGGCAGATACAGCATCACATAAGAAGGATATTCTTTATATTCTAAATATGTTTTTGTGAGCATCATACAGCTGACCAGTCTGACTCGGGACGGTACAGGTGTGGTTTAGGTGGATTTAATACAGAGTTTGAAATCATTGTTGTAGATGGTGAGTTTCTACTAAAAGTCATGAAAATGTTTCTTTCCTGTCTGAAGAAAAGCTTCACTGTTCACTGGTTGATTTACTTTAATGCTCATTTAAAAACATCCACACAATAGTTAATTTGAGTATTGGTGGACCATAGACTTACAAACTTATTGTTTCAAGTGAGGGGGGGCGTTCCGACAGTCATGAGGTCCAGGCTCCTAAGCTCAAAGGGTCCCGTGTCACGGGAGTGAATCCAATTCCATGAACTGGCAGGTATTCTGTGGTTAGCATTCAGCACAAGGATTCAGACAGAAAACAGGCTGGCGTGTTCATACTGTATGGTACAACAATCCGGCAGGGACTGAAAGGTTGAGCTGGTCTTTAAAGGTGAGTTGATTGCAGGATGAAACACCGGTGTGCTAATTAACAGGATGCGTCGCAGGTGAGTTGACTGGAGCTCAGGTGACCACGCCCACCAGCAGCCCCAGAGCATGAGGGAGGGAGCAGACGCAGAGACAGACAAAAAAACAAAACACACCAAGCACACCACAAACCAAAGGGAAAAAGAACTCAAAAACTACAATCACACAAATACCAACAGGCAGGTCAGGGTCATGACCGGGGGTTCGTGACATCAGTGTGAAAGTTTGTGACTCTGAAGTGAATGTTTCTATTAACAGGTGCAGTTATTTACGAGTATTTTTCCATGTGTTCACCTGCCATCACAGAATATTTAGACCACTTTTTCATATTCAAAGATCAATGATCATATTGTGTGCAGAGGCTGAGATTATGATGCTCTGAATCTTTGCTGGAAGAATCCAAATCAGTCACAGACTGGTAGAACTGGGCAGCTCCCAGTGTAACTGGGGATCACATTTGAAACTGTAATTATTGTGATCAGACTGCATCATGTTAAGTACAGATAGTAACTATTGATTGTTCATCTTTTCAACAGCACTGCTGGATGGAAGTCCTCCTGAAGAACAATTCCTCTATACAAGAGCTGGAGGAAATATTGTAGTTGGATCCTCCTTTATTTTCTTTGGAAGCAGGAAGTACTTCTGCAAGGAAGAATGTGAAGAGAAAGACATTCTTGTTGAAACAACTGGTTACACAGCTGAGAGAGGCAGATACAGCATCAGATATACACAACGATCTCTGACAGATGTATCTGTGTATGTGAGCATCACACAGCTGACCGAGTCTGACTCAGGACGGTACAGGTGTGGTCTGGAAAGACGTTTATCACCAGATTCCTACTGGGAGTTTGAGATCATTGTCACAGATGGTGAGTTTACATTTAAAATAAAATGAAAATAACTGAGAATGAAAATGTTTGTTCATGTCTCTCCAGGTCTGAAGAAAGTTTTCACTAACAGCTGCTGATGTA